GCATGGTTTTGTTCCTTATACTCTTACTTCAACCTTGGTTCACAATTGATCCTCTCCGTTTAGCAATTCTTGATATCTTGAGGTAACTTTTACTAAAATCTATTATTTACTCTTTTCTAAAGATGTATATATTTTTTATTTTCTTAATCTACCTTGTTTTGGCTTATTTATGGCTATATAAGGTATATAAAAGCCTTCTTTTCTTATAAAAAGACAGCATTAATACTAAAAATTTTCACTACCTTCCTATCTTTTATCCATATTTTGCTACTTTATCTCTCAACTAAGCTCTTTTATAACAGGATCTATATTTTTATCTTTCACTAAATAAGTATATTATAATATAATACCACACTTTGGTAATTATAGGCAAAAACTCTTTGTTCCATTATAAAACTATTCATATGAGCATTGTAATGAGTATTGATACATGTAACTTCTTCACAAAGACCTTTGAAATGACATCAAGCTAAAAAGTTCATCTCTACATGTAACTCCTATATAACAATCTATTAATTAAGTTACTATCGAGCATGGTTTATAATATGCTTATAGTTGTGGCAATCAAGGATTGTTATTATGCATTTCAATGTAGTCTTTTGATATGATAAAAGTTAATAAGCCCTATGAATTCCAATTTTGGTTTATTTTTTTGATGAAAATAATGAGGCATATAATAAATCAATATGTCATTATGTCTCTCCAATTTATTCTATATATTTGTCTCTCTCTTCCTAAGGAATTTAATAAAAGATATATATATATATATATATATATATATATATATATATATATATATATATATATATATACTAATTTTTTTTAAAATAAAATTTAAAATTTTATTCTTCTTTAAAATAATCTCTTATAATTTTATCAAATAATTATATATATATATATATATATATATATTTTAAATCGTTTGTCTTATTTTCTTTATATGATTTAAGACTTATAAAATTATAGAACTTTAATTAAAAATTCAATTTAATATTTTTTCTTCATAATATTTTACTTATTTTTTAACAAGTAAATTCTTAAAATTAAATCAATTACTAAAATTATTCTACTTTATATGAATTATTTTATTAATTTCTTTTTATAACTATTAACAATTTGTCATTCGTAGACAGTTTGTTTTTGCTATTACAATCTTGTATTTTTATCTAGGCTTGTTCAAAATTTAATTTGGATATACAAAGGCTACTATTTTTTAAATATAATATGCTAAAGAATTAATTTTACAACAATATAATAAATTCTTTTGTGAAAAAAATATCATATATAAATTTAAATATAATATTATATGGCTTAACTAATCTATTTTGATTTTTATATATTTTTAAAAATGATGTATTTTAACTAAATATACAATAAATATATTGCTCCTAATTTTTTTCCAATAATATTAGTATTGTTTTGTTTGAATGAAGTAGATTTTGCAAGGTCACTTTAAAATTATGATATAAAAAGTGTATTGGATATTGTAATATGATAAAATTATTAATTTTCTATTAGAATATGATTTAATAAATCTAAAAATCTAAAAATATATATTTATAGATATTTTAAATTATAATACTTTTTTTTTATCATTGTAATATATTTTTTATGCTGTATATTTTAGAACAATATATCTTAGATAAATAAGAATTCCAACCATATAAATATATATCTCATATATAAAATATATGATAGAAATAAAGCTAATATTAGTGTATAATATATAGGTTCAATAGACTTAAGATTCTATATTACTTGCATCTATAAAGTTGCCTAATTATAATGCAATAATTTTTTTTAATAACTTATCTTAATTCTTATATTATAAGTGCAAAACTTATAAGATATTTATAATTATAAAAAATTATCAAATAAAAAATTAATTAAAAATCTATTAATTATTTTTAGTTTAATTAAAAACATCTAAAAATTCATGCTAAAAACTTTGATAGTTAAATATCTTATAATCCAATATAAAAATTTATTTGATCTTAAATATTATATTTAATAAAAATAAAATAAAAATATTCATATCAATTTTCTATTAACATTTTAATAAATGTTGTCATAAAAGTTTTAAAAAATTCAAAATATTGTATACGATAAAATTTAGTCTATTTTATTTTTTGCTAGTAAAACCACCTTTAAACTTAAAAATTTTATTGTTCAAAGTTATTGGTATTTAAGTTTTTAGAAATATAAGATTTCTTTCTTAAAGCTTTATAAGATTTAGAAGTTTCATCAATACTACCATATTATATACCAAGAACCTATAACTTTAAATATGGTGTATTTTACAAATAGTTTTTTTTTTTTTTTTTTTTTTTTTTTTTTTTCGTTTATTTCAGATCTTACTCTAAATAGTATGACTTTTTAAGCTCAAAATTAGCTATAGTATAATTCATGTATTATAAAGTTTCTTACCATATGTATTATTTATTTGTATTTACAACTAAATAATATATATATATATATATATATATATATATATATATATTAATAAAGAATAATAATAGAAATCTTTGTTTTTATTTTTTGATAGATAATGTATTATAATATTTTTTTAATTTCTATTTTAACTTATAGATAGATTCATAATATTTATAAATGATTCTCTTTAATTTAAAAAAATATTATATTAATAAAAATAAAATTTAAAATTTAGTAATAACTTTAAAAATATTAATAATATACATTTAAAGAATTATTAATATTACATTGCCAATTAATATCACTACACTCCACATAACTTCCATATAATTTAAATTAACTAAAAAGTGAGCTTTTACACATAAGATGCATTTCTTTAAGTAAAGAAAAAAAAAATGCACAAAAGAAAGATGCATATTATTATTTAGATGTTTATATGTCAAGGATATGAATCTAAAACAATAAAAACTTCAATACATTCTTGTGTCACTTAAAAAGAGTATATATACACTCCAAGATAATAATACATCAAAACTAGAATGGCTACTGCTAAAGACAAGAAGACTAGAGATTCTTAAAACAACACTAGGAAAGAGAAAGACATTGACAAAGTAAAGAAGACTTATATTTATCTTATAGAATAAAGTAAACAAATACCAAATAAATAAATATGTCCGCATATACAACAACAACAACAATAATTAAAAAGAATATATACTTGTGTAAGAAGAAGACCTCCTCATGTATAAACAATTTTTAAATTTATTTTTATTATCAATAATTGCCATAATGTGTATAGTAGGGCATCACAATTTTCAAAATAGGGATGAAGATTTAGTCATGTGTCTTCATTGGTATTTCTTTTTCATTTTCTTTTTTGCTTTAAAGCCTTATTATGAGAGGAATGAATTTATCATTCAATTTTCCTCTAACAGCTCTCATTTAACAATGGGAAGCATTTGGATTAGAGTCACAATGCAATTGGAAAATACTAGTCAACAAAAGGATGCAAATAGATCCAAACTTGTAGAAGGCTATGTCAAAATTCTAAAAGTACTTAAATCTTAAAGGAGAAGCTTAGGCAGTAAAATGCAATTAAAATATTCTTGGGTCCAATAAATAAATTTTGAATTGTTCCAAATATACATTATCAAGAAATGGAATTTAATTGTTTACCATACAAGGCAAAGTTTGCATAGGAATTTATGAGACTCAAAGTGGAAAAATATGATATCTACAAACTTTTTATTTAATTGGAAAGACATATAGTTCAACCCAAGTGCCACAAAATCAAAAAAAGAATAAGTGTTGATATGATTGATACAGATAAAAGGCATGGTTGTTAATAAATGAGGATCAATAAGCAATTCTAATTCTTCTTCAAATTATTCTCTTCGAATGCTCCAAACAGCAAAGGCCATTTCATATTAGTTTTGGCCATACTGGCAAGCAAACAGACATGGAATGGGACCACATCATCAGCATGAACAGTACATTCAAACACTCTGCATTTAGAATCTTCGAAAACATTCAGGTAGCTACACGAAAAGTTTATCAACAAAATTCTTTCAAAGGTTGAAGCTAATCCAAAGTCTTCTTTCAAGGATGCGCATTTGGACAACACGGATTCATCTGAACGCTTTTGGTGATGAAGATATAGTGTGGACAAAGACACAAACCAATTTACACATGTGGCTTCACTTGGTGTAACATGGTAAAATAAAAGTAAAAGATACTTGTTAGAACATATATAGACAAGCTAACCACTACAGCAATTTAACTTGCAGATGGGACACATCAAGGTTGATTAGAGAGTATAGAAATATACAAATTCAATGGAAATCTAGAATTCCCTCATGCGACATCGCATTGCCAAAAACTTTTACTATCTGGCCACTTCAGTTAAGCTTGTAACGTACTCACTTGCTATTTGCATCCACCCTACGAATAGGATGTCCACCCTGAGATGCATTGTCGCTTTAAACCAAACCGACCCGAACCATCGGGCGAACTAAATTCAACAACGTTTTCAGGCATAAAGGACCAGAAACTAAGTAGCTCATAATCCCCAACGTGAACTTTTAGAGCCTACAAATGAGTCTGTACAAGCATCAAATCACTGCACGACCAACAAAAAGAAGTCATCAGGTAAATGCTGACAAAACCCTATTCTTCATCCACATCTGCTGCAGAAGCAAGCTGTTTGATGGAAGGCTTGTGAAGTAGACAACCACTGGGCTTCACAAATTGCAATATGCGGGATGACCCAGCAAGAGGTAGAGGATTTTCTCCTTCGAACAATGAGGGCTACCTCCCATGTAGTTTCCTTGACATAAGGACTCTAAAATACATGTCGTGAACATCAAACATTGGAACCTGTATTTTTTGCATGTTATAGCAGCTGCACATAAGACTTGCATTCATTTCACAGAGGAGGCGTAATACCATAGCGGAGGCGTTCTGAAATACGGATGAAGCATCACATGACGACTTCACGTCATGTCATTGGGAGTTCCTACCTACGAGCTTAAGCCCAACCTGTAACATGACTGAATAGATCCCCAGACTCACTACGAAACAATCCCCCAGAAGCCTGCATTTATGTCAGAAATATCACTCCAAGGATACAAAGAGGACAACATTGAGAACGAAATTTTGGTGTTAAAAACTTCCTTTTCACAAGTAACTCACCAACTAAACATGAGAAAAAATATTCATCCGTCGTGTTTAATTGACAAATGATCATCTAATCAAACAAGCTAAATCCCATGTCATCATCGCTCTCTTCCTTTGGCTCCTCCTGCGATCATCGCCACAAAGAACACATTATTGATAACTATGCCCAGAATGAAAAGATCCGACACAGGCGGAGGCGCCATGGATAGAACTCGTGACGAAGTAGCTTACTAAACTAGATAGGCCAAGCATGATTTAAAGTGTACAGTTAGCAATGTATTATGAAGTATGGAAGCTCTGATAACTGTAAATTTAATACGTAGTACAGGATTTATTTTTCCCGATAATGCAAGGTATCTTCTCTCACCTTCTTCTCCTCCTCCTTGGGGGCAGCCTCTGCAGCAGCGGAAGCAGCAGGTGCGGCGCTCACAGCAACAGCACCACCACCTCCTACAAAAGCCATGAATTCGGAGTGAGTTGCACGACTATGGGCACGAAAAGTCGGCAAGCGGCCTGGGGGTGGATTCTTTCGCGAGTCTAATTGAGGCACTTAAGAGTATAGCTCTGATGGGTTGAAATAAATAAACGTATTACTTTAAACAGTTCATGGTAGTGATATTCAGCATCTTACCACCTCCAACATTGGTGATGAGGTCGTCAACGCTTCTCTTTTCGCATAGCTTGGCAAAAAGCCCGGGCCAGTAGCCCTCTACTTGCACATTGGCAGCCTTGACCAGAGCAGCTATCTTGTCGGCCTGACAGGATTACAGCGGCCCAAATCAGCAAATGCAAACAATTCATCGGTCTGTTTCTTGAATGCTATCATACGGAATCAATATTAGAACTAGATATGGACCGACAGTCAGACAGCTCGCTCAGGTTCATTAGAATCCACAAATAGAAGTCTAGGGTTTCCGCTCTGATAAAGGCCACAGGGAGTTGCTCCAGAAGACGCAAACCCTAGCATACACAGTGCTTTCCAGAGAGTTCCTAACTGTATGCCATTCCCACCATGATAATTCTAAGCCCTACTCCCGCATTGCAGTAAGATAAGGATAATTGCCAAGTCAAATTAGATCATCAGATTGAATATCATTCCAAGCAAAAAGGTTGAAAAAACAAGGACACACACTTCATAAAACCAACAGATAAAACGAAGGGAAAAAAAAAAAAAAAAAAAAAAAAAAAAACGGAGTCAAAACAAACAACACCCAAACACTACACACAAAACACGAAAAAACGGAAATCAGGAACAGGAGAACTAACCGTGATGGCGATGCCATCGTCGTGCAAGATGAGGCTAGCATAAGTGCAGGCAAGCTCGCTGACCGACATTTTGGCAAAGCGGGTGCAGAACCACTGCGTCGGAATCCGGAACACGACCACGGATCGGTTCAGCAGCCGCGAGCAAGAGTTCAAAAGACTTCTAAGCATCTCAGGTTGCCTTCTTCACCAAATCGAACTTAGGTTAAGATGTTGTCTAATCTCCACCGTCCAATTCAGGAAAGATCCACGGTTCGACGGCGGTCTCATTTGCCGTTTACCCGGCAATTTCCTAGTGTGTGAGTATCCCCACTGTTAGCAAAAGAAGCGCCATTCATTTGAGTTTGTGGGAGTCAGAGTTTTGTTGTATTATAATCTTAGTTGTTTACGATTGCAAATATTCCTCGTTGACTTGAATTGCGATCAATTGCAGGGCTGATGATACCAGTATTGTGCTAACCACACGTGCAACTGAGCTTCTACCGAATACCGAAATTCACTGGCTCACGGTCGTCTCTTAATGATCTCACAACTAAAAAAATTCCACCATCTATGCGCGTAGACTTACCAGAACAGAAGCGGTTGCAAAGCTGAGACGGACACGGTCACATCAATCATACCCAACGTGTTCATCCCAATCTGCTCGTCATGAAGCCCAGACCTCTTCACAATTTCACTCCCACAATGGGTCCACTGACTAGGTGCAGTAAATGGTGGCGAAAATAGCAGTAGTAGTACAATGGTTGTAAGTGTGTTAGTTACAAGGTTAACTAGGAGAATATGGTGTGTGGAGATATTAATTTGTGTAAATTTGATTTGTTCTCACTAGGACAGAGCAAGCGCGACATTGAGCGCGGAAAGAGACGTGATCAACAGTGCTTGAAGCGACGGTGGGGGCGTTAGTGGCAATGAAATGTCATCATAGAACATACACAAGGGTGAAGTAGGGAATGGACCTCAATGAGAATTGAATTCACAACACCATATAATCTCCAAAACCATCCAATTTACTTCTTCAGGTGAATCGCTGCTTGATTACATACTAAGTTCAGAATACAGTTACTGTAGCCTCCCGTGAGGTCTGGCAAGTTGCGCACGATAAAGTGAGGGCAACTAACCACAACCTGAGAAAGCTCACAGTGCATGATCACTGGTAATACGAAAAAGGACGCGCGAATGAGATGTTCGCAACTCAAGTAAGACTTGCGGACAGGAGGTGAAGAATAATGCACCAAAACACGAAGGCATATATCTATACGATATATTAAATTAACCTATCCAAATATTAAATTCATCTATCTAGAGATAGCAATTGTATGTTATTATAATATATTTTCAATTAATATAAGATGGCAACTAATCCACTGCTAAGATATATAAAAACCTTATTTAAGTTCTCATATAAAAATAAACAACTAAAAGTAAAAGAAGTTGAAGGAAGCTAAAACTAAATTGAAGTGCAATGCAACTAACTTGTTTAGATTAACAAACTAAAATGATTAACTTGCTTAGATTGCAACAAGTTTGTGCATAAAAATTAATTGATTTGGAGCGAATTAATGCACAATTGAAGGTAGAAAGAGTTAAAGACAACTATGGCAAAGATGAGGTATATGGCAATCAATATAGTCATTATCAAGAGGTCACGTGATAAGTTGATTTGATATTAGATAGATTGATTTTAATTTTCTCTAAAATTATATATATAAATATTTAGATCAAATATAGGGTTTTTTTATATTTAAAAAAAAAATCTCTATAACTTAAAAAAATGTCTTTGTTTTGGCAAATTAAAACTTAAATTTATTAAATATAAAATCAAATTTTATTATAGTTTGTTTTGATAGATTGACAAATTATTATTAGTGTTGTTAAAAAATCATCTACAACTTGGATATTTGAGGATCAGTAAATCTTCAAATAAATTTATAAGATATAAAATAATAGAAGAAATTCTTTAAAGTTTTAAAAATAAAATTTGTGTGTCTTCTTTGCTGCAATTGTTTATTACAAATTAAAGAGTTATACGTGGACTTAAATAATATTTACGAATATAAATCCAATTTTTAAAGTTAGATTTAAAATTTTAAATATTATTTAAGTTTAAATTTTCAAATAATTAGATTTTAAAAAATATTATATATATATATATATATATATATATATATATATATAATTAAAATAACCCATGCATGCAAAATTCTAACATCTTTGTCTTTGTGACCTTGTAAATCATAATGGCTAATCTCATGTTTAATTGTTTATTACAAAACCATGCTTAAGAAATTAATTTATGTTTTTTATCTAAAAATATATTTTTATATTTAAAAATTAGTATATATATATATATATATATATATATATTATCACTTAAAAAATTATTCTTTGAATTTTTTATATAGTATAATGTTTCAATTGGTAAATAAGTTGGAGTTAATGTCAAAATTGTTTTGTAGATAAGTAAAATTATTCTTCAGATTTTTATTATTATATACTATTGAATTATTTTTTATAAACTTAAATTTCAATTAAATTAAAGAAGTGTTAAATCTTTATTTTTAAAACCAATTCATAAATTTGGAGCCGTTATTAATAGTATATAAAGATTATTTTTTGCATTGTGTTTTTTCTACATCAATTTAGAATGTTGTGTTTAAATTTAAATATTATTTAAATTCATCATATAAATAAAATATATTTTTTTCTAAATTTATTTAAATAAATTATTATAAGACATTTGTGTACATAATTAAATCTAAATAAAATAGTAAACAAAGTAATTCTATGAGGTACATGTTCCTATCAAATATCATCACTAGACACTTCATAGAAAATATGCAAGTCAAAAGAAGTTAAAAAATACACAATAATAATAAGATAGTATAATAATTTTTAATGACTCTTTGAGAATTGGAATTTTCAAAAACACTTGAATAGTACATAATGTGCAATATTTTATTAAAAGAGTTATAATAATAATAATAATTATTATTATTATTCTTATTATTACTACTATTATATTTTTATTTACTTGTATGTATTTTGTAATTGTAAGCTTGAATTGCAAACAAATCCTCTCATTGTACACTCATTCACATCAATAATACAATGGTGATGAATTAAATTGACATGTAAATTGCCCAATAACTCCAAGTTGTGAAACAATCAAAAATTAGTAGTAGGTAATTATTTATTTGTATATATATATATATATATATATATGAATGTTATATAGATCCATACTTTTATTGAATAGACCCACCCTAAAATATAGGTGTTTAAATTTAAATATTATTCAATTATTGAATAGACCCACCCTTGACAAAAAATATAATTGGACTTTATTGATTGCAGATCCAATAGTGGAGAAATAAATCTAGAAGTCATTTTTTTTATTTCATGATGGTTAGAATGGGTGGATAAATTTAGTAAAATCTTGGGTCTATTTATTTATCATTCCCTTTTTACAAATATAGTTTATCTTCACATGTGTTCTCATAAGCAATGTTCTCCTTGCATCGACCAAACAAGACAATATCTGGAAAAATATCTGGACCAAGATCTCAAAACGGACCTCAAAGTTATGGGACCTCAAGCCAAGCAGACAGACAGAGCGGGGGAGAGATAAGGGCTTTCATAGCGAGGGACATGAAGAGTGAGAACTGATCTGCACTCCACGCTAAATCCATAGCTGAATCCATCGACTTGTTCCTCACAAGGTACAGATCTCGGTCTTCACTCTTCCGTCAAAATTTGAATCCAATTCACACACACGCTCATACATACGACTGAATGAATGAATGTGCATGTATATATATATATATATATACTTGAATGTCTAGCAGTTCGGTTCTGCAGTGGCTTCGTGTTCATTCCGTTTCAGTTGTAATTTTTCGGGGAGGAATGTTTGTGGAGACGTTCGCAAGCGCAAAGACATCTGAATAAGTTGTACATTAATTCTGAATTCTGCTTCTTTTTTTTCTTTTTTCTCTTTTTCTTTCTTTTTTAAAAATTTCCTGTGTTATTTTGTTTGTTGAATGTGTACGAAAGGAGATGGATCCAGTACTTACATGATGGATTATGATTGTGGTGTGTAGGAGTGAGTATGACAGAGGTGTCAATACATTTTCTCCCGAGGATCGGCTCTTCGAAGTGGAATATGCCATTGAAGCCATTAAGGTACGAAAATTATTTTTTGTGTGGAAAAGATACGGGTGAAGTTTTTGCGAATTTCGATGTGTAAGTCCAGTTCCGCGACGCTGTAGCAATGTGGCTCTTATGTAAACAACTGAAAGCCATCGTTTGTTCAGCAGTGAAGGTCTAGATCAACAGGCACTAACTGCGGTTTAATTTCAATCCAACTTATTATCTCGATCTTTAAATTTCGGGTATGATCAGTCTGTCTGATTCTCTTCCGATTAGTTTTGTTGTCATTTTCAGCACATGGCAGGTCTCGGCTTGGTGTCTATTATTACCATTTTCTGATGATTGATTTGGCAACCGGGCAGCTTGGCTCAACAGCGGTGGGATTAAAGACTAAGGAGGGAGTGGTCCTGGCTGTAGAGAAGCGAATCACATCAGTTCCTATTGGTAAATTGTTGAGTCGAAGTCCCTCGTTTCAATTGCCGTATGCAAGTCAATAATAAGAAATATATTTTTGCGATGAAGGACACACCAAATTTTACAGCTTTTGACGAAAGTATTACATTTGGCTTGCATGCTGCTTCATCTTTACGCTTAAGGTCACATCTGCTTTAAACACGAGTTTAAAGCAAAGCTCAATCGTATGTGGGTCTTTAGAGGAGTTGTTCTGTTTTGAGCTTACGTACTATCATCTTAACGTTGTGGCGAGCGTTACTCTGCTTCTACTTTTTCTCTGGTATACTTAATCAGGCTTGTTTGAAACTGTGGACTTGTAGGAACCCACCAGTGTTGAATAGATCACGGAAATTGATGAGCATATTGGATGCGCCATGAGCGGTCTCACTGCGGATGCTCACACAATTGTCAAGCATGGCCGTGTGGAAACTCAGGTCTTTGTTCTTTGCTTTGGTGGATGTTTCTGTTGATACTGTAAGTGGAATCACAGATATTCTGCTAAATACAGCTTATCAATTTTCTTTACCCTGCACTAACCATGGATCACGTAAGATGCAATCAACTAAAGTT